AATCCATGCCCTCATTTTCAAATAGCATTCTCTTTGTGTCACTGTGTCTTCATATGGCCATCTTCTTAAAAGGACAACCAGTCATACTGGATTAGGAGTCTCTTTACTCCACTATGATTTTAACTACTTATGTCTACAACTCTATTTCCAAATAAGGAAACACTTTGAGGTACTAGGCATTAGGACTTCAATATATCTTTTTGGGGAGGACACAATTCAACTCATAATAGCGCCTAACAAATATTAGTTGAATGGATAAATAAGATGCTTCTTGAACTGATGTTTCTCATCAGTATAAATGGGATTGACTGTAGTGTATTCTCTATAGGAGACAAAGAGCTAAAGGCCAAGGCAAAATGTATTATTTCTACATCTTTAAATTTTACTATGATTTCAAATTGGTAGAGGGCATGTACTCAGCAACTAAAAAGATACCAAAATCGATTCAAACATAGCCTTCTAGGAATCCCTGTTTTTCTAGTCACCATACACTGTCTGGGGATTGGCAAAGTAGAAATAGAGTTCCTACTTGCATTCTCCAGGCTCAGATATGGGCTGAAATAAAATACTCTGAGAGGAAAAGGAAAAAGAGTTTCCTACTACAGATTGTAGTGGGATCTAAAGAAATGTACTGACTACATCAATATCTAATATTTATTAATATTTAAATGATTTTATATATCAATATCTGGGATAATATGTATTTTCTCATAAGTCTTCTTTTTGTTTAAATTCAGATAAGGATTATCTGCATGTTTGCAAGGGTAGCAGATGAGTGAGGAGGTTAAGAGTGTGGGTTTTGAACACAACTCCTCCACTTACTAGCTGTGTGAACTTGTACAACTTGTCTGTGCCTCAGTTTCTGCATCTGTATAATGGAGATGATAATGGAAGTACTTTCCATACAGCTGTTATGAGAATGTATGGGAAAGCTTCAATAAATGTTAGTTACTGTTTTCATTATATACTAGCCATTTGGCTTGCTTCAGTTAAATATAACATGTAAAGGTTTTTCACGATATGTATTATATTTTTAAAGTCTTATGCAAATTAGCTTTTATTCACATTCAGTATCTACTTTTAAAATAAAATTTCTTAGCCTGTCATGAATAGATCTCACTATCAACATAACTTTCAATCATGCCAAAAGACTTCTCATGTCCTACTGAAACCAGAACAAACCCAGTCCTTAGAAGGCTTCTTTGCAGAAAGGTCAAACCTAACCACAGCAAGAAGCATCTATTTCCATTGATCAAAGGTAGATCATTAAAATTCCATAATTGACAAATATTACAAATGATACAGATAAATAAATTACTATCAATCCCTCATCCCAAATTGATAAATATCCATTTCCGAAATACAAGCAGAGAGATAAGGGTGATGAAAGAAGATTACATGGCTTAATTTGCTCTGATTAAAAATGGTTCAGAAATTAGCAGACCATCTCTGGGGTGACAGAGATGGGCTGATACTAGAATGTGACCTCCTTTGTCATGGTACAGCAGCTCCTAGATAATATTTTGATTTAATGACAAGGGAATGATCCCAAACTGATATATTTTCCACTTATGTATTCAGATAAATAATGTCAATCAAACAAAGGCTCTGCAGGACTAAAAGCTGGAATATTCCTTCCCCAGAAATAGTGTCCCAAACCACAATATCCGTTTTAAAATGTATTTCTATTAAAGGTGTTCATTACTCTGAATCCTTTTCAATGTACTGTGAGCTTAACTAAGCATTATCTAAAAAAAAATCCAAAAAGGTGTCGCTGCAATCTTTGCTTGCTACTAAAAGGCTAATAAATTTCCAGTCTTTTCACTGGGTTTTTAATTTTTGTTTAATAAATATAAAAGCAAACTATTAAAACACAGAGACTAACCCAGATACAATGCGGAAGGGGATTTACAAGCTGTGAATGCCAGGAGGAGGGGATTATCAAGGGCTCTTTGGAGGCTAGCTACCCAAATTGTGGTGATACATGTGATTTACCCATAATGTAGACTTGCAGAGGAGTTGCATATGTATTTCATAACATTTGCAATGAAATACATTTTCTTTTCAAAAAATAGAATGACATGAGAAAAAATGTTTAATGTTTTAATGTTATTGTTCACTATTAATTTTCTTTAACCTATTTTGATAATTAGCAGAGCATTTCTGGAGGATCATTTAAACAAATATAAAACATGAATCAAGATGTCTGTTAAACCAATGAACATTAACAATTGACAGCACATTCCAGAGCATAGTTCATTTCAGAATAGCAAAATTGCTTGTTTCCTCCTAATAACAATGACCAAGGAAATTAAGTTACATTAACTTGAAATGAGTAATCCATTTTTTTCCAGGTTATTTCTTAAAACTGTTTTGAGTATGTATGTTTTAGGCATTTTGAGAATTCTGTAAATCATGTACTTACATTAAAGATAAGCAGAAGGGGTACCTGGGTGGTTCAGTCCATTAAACAACCCACTCTTGGTTTGAGCTCAGGTCAGGGTCTCTGACGAGATGCAGCACCCCGTCCCTCCCATCACGCTCTGTCCTCAATGTGGAGTCAGCTTGAAATTCTTTTCCTTCTTCCCTCTCCCTTCCTCTCTACTCCTCTCCACCACACACGTTCACCTGTGCATGATCTCTTTCTAAATAAATAAATAAATAAATAAATAAATACATAAATAAATACATAAATACATAAATAATTTTTTAAAGCCAAAATCGATGTCGTCAAAGATAAAAATTTATATAGATTAAACATTGGGACATATGTCTGGACTATAATATGTAACATAACTTGTGTTTTATATCTCCAAACTCAAGTTGCCACAAACTGGAATATCCTAGTTTCTTATCAGTTAGTTCTATGGAGCTATGTTTTGGTAATATCTTCCATCTGTGATATTATAATACATTGTCTATTTTAATTTTCTTACAAGATGCTAACTACTCTTCACATGCATGTGTCATATAAATGTAGAGAATGACAGGCTTTAGATATGAAAAGACCCTTGGAACTTTTTGTGTTAAAAGTGTTCCTCACTTTTGAAGGGTTGGGAAATATGATGCTTCATGGCCCTGCCTCCCCATGTTCTCAGCTTCGTACTCAAATATCTGATTAAAAATCAGAACTTATTGGTAGCACAGAGCAGTATTAAGTCACTGATAATTATTTTCTGGCATATGATCTCCAGAAAAAAAAAAACAAAAAAAACAGTTGATACACAAAGGCTCCAAAGAGTTAGAAGGATAGAGAGACAGACATTGGGCAGGCTGTGTCTTTTTGAGATATTCTCTGTTCCTACTAGATACAAACCCACACAGTGATCAGCTGATACTGCTTCTCCTTGAGTATTTAACCTTCTTCTTAAAAATAAAACAGAGATATTTTTAAAAATGATCAAGGTTGAAAGCAGAAGCCATTACAAATATAGCATATGTATACACACCCAAACAAACACTCAACCACCTATATATTGGTTACTCTGCTATGCATTAAAGAGCTTATTTTGGGTTAGAATTAGAGTTACATTACAAAGTTTAATTTTAAAGCAAATATTTTTTTTCTTTCTTTTCATTTGGGTTGTGGGATTACAATACATTGTATAGAGCTAATCTTAGCTAATCTTAGCTGAGAAATTAGTTTTATCCCAAGGATAAACTGACATTAGTCCCAGGTAATTCACACAAGAATTATGGGACTATAGCTAAGATTAGACCAGTTTTTGATGACTTAGCTAAATTTCATTTCCTAAGGTTGGTTTGCAGTATCAAAATTTGTTATTTTCCAGTCCACTGACTAAAATATGTATATTTCTGATAAGATATGTTCTTCCTAAAATCTGATTGTTTATTACCCAGGACTTTGTGATCTCTCCAATATTTTAAGTTAACATTTTGATTCTTGCATGTTACCAATGATTTTTTAAATTTAATTCAAAGGTGATCCTTGTTTTCTTTTATAAGAAATTATCCTCCACTTTCCTTTTGTCCTTTACTTAATTTGTTGGTAGTATCTCAATTCTTTATTGTTTTTCTACAGCAGATTTCTACAAATTAATTCTCTAGGATACAGTTTTCTTAGATCACAGTTGTGTGAACATATCTGCATTTAATTAAATACATTGTCTTCTTTCACTGGTTTCTTTTCCAATAATTGCTTTATTATATCCTTTAGTAAAGCTAACCCTAACACCAGCCTCCAAAATTTGAGACTTTCAGGGCCATTTATCCTAAATTTGATTTCTGTATCTAATAAGGGGATTGTTTCAGTTATCTGCTGACACATTAACAACCTAGCCCAAAATGATTTAAAACAGTCATTTTATTATTTCTCACAAATCTGAGGATTAGCTGGGGCTCAGCTAGATGCTTTTTCTGCTGGTCTCATTTGGAGTCTCATGCAGTTTCATCTATGGCAGAAGTGGCTTCATTCTGGCCTCCTGGTTGGAATGCTAGGCCTAGCTAGGACAACTGAACATTTCCCTCTGTGCATGGCCTCTTGTTATTTCTCCAGCAGAGTGACCCAGCTTTTTAGATGGCAGCTCAGGATTTCCCTTTTTTTTTTTTTTAAGATTTTATTTATTTATTCATGAGAGACACAGAGGGAGAGAGAGAGACAGAGACACAGGCAGAGGGAGAAGCAGGTTCCATGCAGGGAACCTGATGTGGGACTCAATCCTGGGACTCCAGGATCACACCCTGGGCCAAACGCAGGGCCTAAACCGCTGAGCCACCCAGGGATCCCCAGCTCAGGACTTTCAAAAGAGCAAAAATAGATACTGCCAGATGTTCTTAAGACTTAGTCCCAGAGTTACTTCCGCCACATTCCATTGGTTAAAGTAAGTCATGGGGTCAGCCTAGGTTTAGGAGGAAATAAATAGGACATGAGTACTGGAAGGTGCAACTTGTTGGGGCCATGTCTGAAGACCATCTACCACAGGGGTTATGTTTTCCTTTTTCTCCTTTAAGACCCTGATTCCTCTCTACTCCTTTTTCAGTTCTCTGCATCTCTGGTGGTTTACCCAAGCCTACGAATATTACCTTCTTATCCATAAACATGAAGAACATCCTACAGTGGAGTCCACCAGAGGGCCTACAAGGAGCTGAAGTTACTTACACTGTGCAGTATTTTATGTAAGTTGGTTCTTTTCCTTTTGGCTAATTTATAAACATAAGATTCAGATACCTATTAACTGTGCAAAGATAAACCATCTATTGTACTAAACAAGTGGGAAAAGAAAAGTTTTAGATATTCTATGTTAAATTTTCTTGGGATGTTCTGTTAGATTAAATTAGAAAACCATTTTTTGGTGAAGATAGAAACATTGGGTGATTAAGTGAGGGAAAGTTACTTAAATGGGGAAAAGAAATTGGTCAAAATGTTATTCCCTGGCTGAGAAAACAAGGAAATCCATCATCTCTGAAATGTCTAAACTTATTGGAATTACAGACATTTTTAAGTGAAACTTAGTGTAGAAGTCTGTGCTACTAGCTCTTCCTATAAAAGGTAGTAGTGAATGGACATTTTCACATTTCACATGTCCCACAAAACTCATTGCAAGCAAGAAAGAATGCAAAGCACATAGATGATGCCCATCTTCAGAGAAACAAAGGAAACGACCAAACCCTAAGCCACAAGCTGTGGAACCTACAGGCCAAGTACTGTGAAATCTGAAGGAAAACAGCTGCAGAAACTGAAAGTGAATCTACCTTCTTGAACTCCAACAGTAGAACATAATTTCATAAGAATAAATGTTACAGTACAGTCTAAGGATGTGAATCTAAGGATTTCTCCTACCAGAAATTAAGGAAATGTCCCCATGAGCCCCAGTTTGGTGCCACAGAATGTCAGAGAAGGAGGAGCTGAAAGGGAAATCATGTTCAAGTTACACATTCCCTGTAGAGGGACCAGTCGCCCTGTTAAAGTGAATGCACAAGCAGTGAGGTGGCTTGTATGATGGTGGCTGGGAGGCACCCTAGGGGACTGTGATGTCACTAATGTGCCTTGTGGCACATCAGCTTCCTGCAGTTTCAAAACTTGAGGATGGGCAGGCTCTCCAGCAAAGGAAATGATATGATTTGGAGAACAGGTGTGTGACACACCCTCACTCCTATACCCATTTGCCTAATATTCAGTAAATAGCTGGCCCTGTTCAAAGAGTAATAGTCCCAAAGAATCTGGCATAGCATCTCTCCATTATTACTGGGAAGGAGAAAGACACACACACACACACACACACACACACACACGCACACACGTGAAAAGTTCCTGAAAAACTTTCTCATGGAAATAGGAGAAAAATTCAGATGAATAATTGTTCAGAGTTTGAGTCCATACACATGATCTCTAATGGTAAATCTGAAGGAAAGGAAAGGAGAAGAGAGGGGAGGGGACAGGAGGAGAGGGGAGGGGAGTGGAGGGGAAAGGGAGAGGACGGAAGGAAGGGAGAGAAGAAAGAGAGAGAAAGAAAGCAGTTAAAGAAAAGATTCTAAGACAAGAGGAAGAATTTTTTTTAAACAAGTGGGTGGAGCTTAGGGAAAAGATGGAAGATCAAAATATTATATAGAGAGTAAAACCCTATGGCTAACGGACAGTAGTAACTGAACAAGTGATAATGACTCTCTGGACTCTGGAATTGTGCATTGTAAATGCATGCTCAGTCTAGGAAAATGTAATAAAAACAATAGGAAGACCTATCCTGGTGAGGTTCTGAACTTGAAGAAGATGAAATACTTTATGCCTGTCATAGCAAAAGCAAGGCTCAAGGGGGGGCAGGGGAGAGGATGATTTGTGTCTGGCAACACTCAACAAAAGACAGTGATACATCCTCTGCGGAAAAAAGGGGTGTGATCTAGGATTCTTATCAAGTTCAACAGATGTATTTTCAAGCAAGCGAGATGTCAGGATAGCACTCCCCTGAGATCTTGAGAGGGAGAAAACCACTAACTAAAGATGATATCCGCTGACAGAGGTAAAGATGAACCTGAACAAAGACCTTAGTACTGACAAGATTATTTGTTATTGTGGCAAGACTGCTACGCATATTGAGACCATCTAAGTGAAGAACTGAGGCTAAATAATGATAGGAAATGTGGTTATCGAACTTTCTTGTAAATGCTTGAAACCTAAACAATAATATAACAGATTAGAAAACGGGAAAAAAAAAACTCTAAGTGTACTGAGTTTCATAGCAGGACGCCATTAAATGTGATCTAAAATGAAAATATTTCATCATCTTGATAACTAAACTCTCAATATTTTTCATAAACTATTTTCTTAATTTAAAAGATCTTTTAGGAACTAATGTCTCTTGTGGTGATAAAACACTTGAACTACAGCAATTCCTTTAATTTCACTTCAATTTATTTTTTTATTAAAGTTCAAATCAGGGGGCAGCTGGGTAGCTCCAGTTGGTTAGGTGTCTGACTCTTGATTTTGGCTCAGGTCATGATCTCAGAGTTCTGGGATTGAGCTCAGGGTTGGATTCCAAACTCAGCATGGAATCTGATTGGGATTTTTTCTCTCCCCACTCATACTCGATAGATAGATAGATAGATAGATAGATAGATAGATAGATAGATAGATAATAGAATCTTAAGAAAATATAAATTCAAATCAGGTTAAATTTACAACTTTGATTAAAACCATAAGTATGGTATGATCTAGTTATTGTCTGTGTATACAGCGATTTAATCATTCCTATGTGAATAAAGAAGCATAATGAGTTGTCCAGAATTATGAATGCCAAATGTTTCAGGCAAATAGGTTTTAGAGTGATTTGTTTCTCTCTTAATTACACATTTCTGATTGTTTGAATTTTTTAAAAGTACCCTATTTACAAAAAGAACACCAAAATAATTTTTCTCTAAGAAAAATATATTCTGATCCTTAAAGGCAGTGAAATATTTCAGCAGCTCTTCACAATGACCTCATTTTCATTTTCGAGGAGTTTCTCTGAAAGCTGGTGTTTTAGGAAAGAAGATGTCACTCTGCAAAAAGAAATGGCTCTTGAGTTTGCCCTGGATTCCTTTTCCATTAGGTGAAGCAATGAGCTTGTTCTGTCCTTTACATGTTTATTTGATTCTAAAAAGGCTAACAAAAAAAATTGAGTCATCATTGCTCTGTGAGAGCAAATAATTGAGATAGTACAACTTTCAAGAATGAATGTTGAAAAAGAAACTTGCCATATTGGAGGTCTTACATGCTTATGCATGTCCAAGATGGACAGGAATACAGAGCAGTGTTGTGTCACCAGTAGGACTCCAACCTCAGCTCCAAGGTCACACAGTCCTTGGTTTGTAGCCAGGCTGTGAACTTAGCCAGGTAACCTTGGGCAAGTTACACATTATGCTTTTACACTTTGGAGTGAAGTTTGTTTCCAAGTAAAAAATGAATTTTAACAAAAGTTTGAATTCTACCTGCCAAAAGAATTTAATGCAGAAAATATATAGTGCAGTTCTACATGCACAAGCTGTGGCCCAGGCTTTGAAATGTGGTTCAAATCCCAGATATGCCTGTTATTAGTCATATCAACTTGAGCAGTTCCTTAATCTCACTGAGTCTGTTTCCTTACCCATAAAATGGGGTGAAAATAATGGCACCTGCCTCGTAGGGTCATTAGGATAATTAAATGAGATAAGGCATAGAAATCCTAAGCATTAGTCCCAATACATAATAACATAATAAGCACTTGATAAAAGCTTTATGGAATTAGCAGAAAATAGTCAGAGACCATTGAGGGCCTCACATGACTTTTTGTCATGCATTAACATCATTACTGAAGTCGTCATTGAATGATTTATGTCTATCAGTTTATCAGGCGTACAGAGCATAATGCTCAGAATCCAGTAAAGAGTATTTTCTCCTCCATCGACCCCTGTCATGGAAAGCTGCCCTACCCTTGGCAGAGTAAGGAAGTTAGGGGAGAGGAGATCAAATCGATGAGGGCGATATTTGCCAAACTGTAAGTCAAGACTTGTTGATGGACCATGAAATCAATTTTGAAGAACATAGCTAGCATTATTTTTAATGGAAAGGACTGGAATGGTGCGAAGTAGATTGGAATGGATAATAACTGAATTCATGGCATATAGTAAAGTTTAAATATCATCTTATGAAATCTTTGTATTAGTATGTTAAATATATGTATGTTTATAGGAGCTGGGTCACAATGTAAAATGTATTTCTTCTTGTGGCTCACAGCCAAAAAAAAGTTGGAAAGCCTTAGGCAGTGGTGACTGCTTGATGGAAAAGTTGGTCAACAAGATCTGAACTGTATTTCTAATGTCTTTTCAGCAGGTATGGTACTTATGAAACAAGATACATTGTCTTTTGGAAATCTGTTGCTATATTATGAAAAGAGAGGATACCCTTAAGCTTTGACAACACTTGAGAAAGTCCACATTTCCTCATCCTCAAGACATGCTCTTGCCTTGACTTATGTAATGTCTGTTTCTCATTCTCCCTCTTTAGCTGCAATTTCTTTTCTTTTTCTTTTTTAAGTAGACTCCATGCCTAGTGAGGAGCCCATGTGGGGCTTGAACTCACAACCCTGAGATCAAGACCTGAGCTGAGACCAAGAATTGGATGCTCAATCAACTGAGCCATCCAGATGCCCCTTTAGCTGCTATTTCTAACTGTACTTTGGAGCCAACTTTTTAACCTTGATGATCCTGGAATTGTATCTTAGGCTTTGCTGTGGCTCCAGGATAATTTTATTCACACCTATGCCTTCAATGAACAATTTCGTGCCTTTGATTTCAAAACCACTGCCTCCCACTCACATCTCTGTGCTGAGCCCCAGTGCCTACTGGGCATCCGCATCTGGGTATCTTTCACATACCTGAGGTTCAACAGGTGAAAGGCTGAACTTGTTATCTTCCCTTCCTCCCACCCCACCTCCCCATTTCTCAAACCTATTTCTCAGGATTCCTCATCTTGGTAAATGTTACCACTGTCCCAGATGGAAAGATATATCATCCTGAATACCTTCATCTCTCTCATCTCTTACCTACACTCCATTACCAAGTCCTGTCTCCTAATATTTCTTCCTTTGGTCCTGTCATCTATTCCACTGCCACCACCCCAGCCCAGGCCACCTACATCTTCCACCTGGACCACTGCAGTATCCCCTCAAGGGATCCCCAGGCTGCCACTCCTACCCCACTGCTTTCTCCATGCTACACCAGCTAGCTTTCTAAAACCCCAGCACACCTGCTTTAATCCCTTCATAGCTTCCCATGCAATCCTGTCTCTCTTCGTGGCTCTTCAACTCTCTACATCTCAGTCTCTCCCACCTGAAAACTATTAAAAATATTTCCCCCTCCCCACTTGCTTTGAGTGTTGTGTCTTTAATAAAGAAAGGAGAAATCTATATGAACACCCAGTCACTATCATCACCATCACTATAATTACTGCGGCATGCACTCCAATCTAGTGAATTTTCCCTAGAACCCTTGATAACAAGTACCTTTTTAAATTTTATGGAAATGTCAAGGTAATTTTTCTTCCAAGAAAAAAAATGACTAATATTTCTAAAAATAGCCCATCAAATTGACCTTCACAGACATGGTGGACTAAAAATCTTACATAGATAATTACTAGAAGAACTGATCACACAACATGTAAATTTTTACTGTAACCCAAGAATAATAAAAAAATACATGCTCTCAAAATGTGCTATCCATATTATAATTTACAGAAAAGAGAGGTGATTGCAGAAATTCTGACTCATACTCCTGACAGCTAATGAAAAAAATTGCTAGCAGCAAACATGGATTCTTCTTATCTCAATGACAGGCACTTTTGTTCTGAAGTGAAGGTCTGAACTTCCATTCAATTTTGTATAATGACTGTTTTTCCCCCCTATTGGGATCACAGAGGGCACGTCATTATTAATTCAGTTTCTTTCTCAGCAGATATGGGCAAAAGAAATGGCTGAGTAAATCCGAATGTAGAAATATCAATAGGACCTGCTGTGATCTCTCTGTGGAAACTTCTGATTATGAACATCAATATTATGCCAAAGTTAAGGCCATTTGGGAAACGAATTGTTCCAAATGGGCAGAAACCGGACGATTCTATCCATTCTTAGAAAGTAAGTAACATGATTGTCTGTAAATACAGAAAATGTCAAGTTCATCTGACCGTCAAGTGTGGCGTCTCAGCCTCACAGACAGCATTGCCCAAGAGGCCAGTGCTCTGGTGACTTTGTTCTGTTCTCTGTCCCTCAGCTGCTAGAGTGACCAGCCCACAATGCTCCACCTTGCTAGTACTCAGTTTCGTCTTTATAAGGAGAGGTTTGGCTGAGTCATCCCTAAGATCTCTCCCAGATCCAAAATTAACATTAGATGCCAATATTATCAAAATTCAATTTTGTTTCATTATTTAGTGAAGACTGTAATTTGAAGAACTGACAGGTTTTTTTTCATTGCTGTGGGTTTATAAACCATGGATATAGGTGCACAAGATTGACACAAGATTGTTCTGCTTGCCAAACTAAGTCTCTTCTTGTTATGAACAGGTTAGTGTGATGACATCATTTCTAGGTGTAACTCAGAATTCAGGCAACATCTTCCTGATATTTGCTCTTTAAATTTTTCCATGTCTTGTTCTGTGCTGATTTAGCCGTAGAGGACCCGCTCAGAGCTGCCCTAATGAAGTTTACGAGTGCTCCTCCAGTCCTGGAGCTGGAACCTCTCCTCAGATGCCCTTCTTATTGTGGCACTGCCCCTTTCCATTTATCTGTAGGCCAAGAGCTAAGAATGATTTTTACATTGATATAAATAAGAATTGCAACAGAGATCATATGTCTATAGAGCCTAAAATACTTCCTGTCTGTACCTTTATGATAAAAATTTGTAAGCCTCTGCTCTAGATCATTCCAATCACATCTTCAAAAGTCTTTAACACTGCTTCATTCCTCCATGGCTGATTTCCACCACTTATTAAATCATATTAATGTTATTGATCACCAATTTTTCAAGTCACAGGAGTGTTGTAGACACTTTTAATGGTGTTTACCATCTGTTCATCCATGGGACTAGGAACTAAGCAAATACATGCTTGAATTTTGTGTTTTAATATTGTGTCAGGGGTGTGAAATGACTGTTTCAAGATGTGGCAAAACCTTAGAACATTCTGAGTCATCTCAACTAAGAGGGTAGCTTTAGGGCTTTGATTCCAGTAGGATTATACTGTAGTTTCATACATAGTGATTTCTACATGTGAACATGTTACCTCCCTCTCTCCACCCCTTTAAGCACAAATTGGGCCACCAAGGGTTGCTTTGACCACAGATGAGAAATCCATTTCTATTGTCCTGACGGCTCCAGAGAAGTGGAAGAGAAGTCCAGAAGAAAGTTCTATTTCCATGCGACAGATATACTCCAACCTGAAGTATAATGTGTCCATATATAATACTAAATCCAATAGAATGGTAAGTCTGGAATGGAATGGGGGCCTCTAATCTGGTGACTTTCTGTAGCTAATGCTGAATAAGCAGCCCTGAGGCACGGGAATCTGGGAAGATGTGATATTCAAAGACTTGCTAGACAAGATACAGTGGAAGTTGATATGTAAAATTCTCAACAGTGCTCTTCAGATTTCCCTTACAGAAACTCTGTCAGTGGGGTGTGATGTTGCTGTTGGGTGTAGAATGACTGTCCACCTCACTTTGATGGAGAACTTTGTCTTGCATATGATCTGTCAGTTACTCTCCAAGAAAGAAAGAAATGTCAGTGAGAACACAGGGCAAGGTTGAGCAAGAAATCTGTCCTTACATTATTATTTAAAATTGTTCCCAGAATGGTTCCATTTCCTGACCATGCTCGGCTGAGCTCAAGGAAAAGATTATTTTAAAGATATTGCTGAAAAAAAAAAGCTTATAGTGATTATGAAAGATTCAGTGGTATCTCAAGTGTTTTATTTCCTTCTGGAGCTATCTGTCTGGGGTGGTGCTGGAGTTCTTTGGCCCTAATTGCTGTTTCCCATCCCCTGCCCTAGTGGTCCCAGTGTGTGACCAACCACACACTGGTGCTGGTCTGGCTGGAGCCAGACACTCTGTACTGCATCCTTGTGGAATCTTTCGTCCCAGGGCCACCTCGTCTTGCTCAGCCTTCTGAGAAGCAGTGTGTCCGCACTTTGAAAGGTATGCTTAAAAACCCTCAGCTGGTCTAGAGAAGGAAATCTGATAAAACTAGAAGTGTGGCAATTATAAACAAAGTTTGGACAAATCCAAATCTACCAGAAACAGGTTGGGACAAAAGCGGAGACAACCATCACCAGATGTGCATTGAGAAGCCTGGGACTCTGCCATTGAACTTGACCTGCATTAGGGTGTGTTTACATTCCCCCCGGGGAACTCTTACCACCTGCCCTGATACCTGCTTGCCAATAATCCTCTTCCGTGGGAAAATGACAATTAAGAATTTTTACACGCATCTTTTTTTTTAAATTGTCATCCCTTTCATCAGTAGAAATTCTGTGGTCCTCCAGAACATCAAGTTTTAGTGCTAGAAACAAAACATTACGCTAAAAACACTTGAAGACACTAGCTTTTGCTCACTCTCAGGAATACAGATTACAGGCTCCACAAGTTGCATTCAGATATCACTCACTGGCTGCAAAAGCATCTGGGATCAGCAAATCCACAGTTACTCCCTCACTTACATTGCTTCTCTCTTTCCTTTTGTCTCTTCATTTTTTTCTGAATTTGGCTGAAGACTGTCATTCCTGTTAGGAGAGAAAAGAGTTTGGAACTTGGCATTTGTATATTTGTTCTTCCTGAAGGGTGAGAAGACCTTGAACTCAAAACCTGAACATTGCAAATAAACTCTGACATTTAGCTTCATCAAATGGCTCATGATTCATTATTCCTCCGTTTCCCTCTTCCAAACATGCTGTCCTAGAACTAATGTCACATCTTTTCCCCCATCACCAGCTGTGGGATGGCCATGGTGATAAGACTCCTGCTTTCCTCTTCCTTCTCACTGAGCTCATCACAAGATGAAACTGTCCTAAAGAATATAAAGGGGATTGGATTTTGTGAGTACCTATTGAAAGTGAAAAGCTTTATTTTTGAATCTCTATCCTTTCATACTTTCCCCTTAAAATGAAGGCTTCCTTGCCATATGTCAAAGAAAACTGAAATGCTAAGCAAGCAAAAGACAAAAAGCAGATTGGCCACTCTCGGCATACACTAGCTCAGCCACCTCCCTACACACATCCCAAGCTCCAGACCTACCCCAAAAGTCTAGAAGGTGATGCCATACATTCCTGTCTTCTACTTAGTATTTGGAAAAGGTTGAGTCAAATGTGTATATGGAAAAGTGGGGGCAGCTTAATAGGATCTTATCAAGAGGGTTTCCATTTTGGGTTTAAAGTGTATATGTTGCTTGAATATTAGACACACTTAGCTTCAAATATAAGACCTGCATGAGTCTCATAACCAGACATAAAATGTTGGAATATCTGCTGAAAGTGCCGTGTTGAAGTCTACTAGTATTAGTGTATTATTATCTAAGTCTGTCTTTACTTTAATTATTAATTGACTGATATACTTGGCAACCTCCCACATTAGGGACATAAATATTCATGATTGTTAGGTCTTCTTTTTTTGGTAATTTTATTTTTATTTTGAGGAACCTCCATATTGTTCTTCAAAGTGGTTGCACCAGTTTGCACTCCCAGCAAGAGTACGAGAGGGTTCCCTTTTCTTTTCTCTTTTTCTTTTTTGTGTGTGTACTTTACTTTATTTTATTTTTAAATTTTTTTTATTGGACTTCAATTTGCCAACATTTAGCATAACACCCAGTGCTCATCCCTCCAAGTGTCCCCCTCAGTGCCCATCACACAGTCACCCCAACCCCCCGCCCACCTCCCTCTCCACTACCACTTGTTCAATTCCCAGAGTTAGGTGTCTCTCATGTTTTGTCACCCTCACTGATATTTTCACTCCTTTTCTCTCCTTTCCCTTTATTTCCTTTCACTAATTTTTATATTCCCCAAATGAATGAGACCATATAATGTTTATCCTTTTCCAATTGACTTATTTCACTCAGCATAATACCCTCCAGTTCCATCCATGTCGAAGCAAATGGTGAGTATTTGTCATTTCTAATGGCTGAGGAATATTCCATTGTATACATAAACCACATCTTCTTTATCCATTCATCTGTCAATGGACACCGAGGCTCCTTCCACAGTTTGGCTATTGTGGACATTGCTGCTATAAACATTGGGGTGCAGGTGTCCTGGCATTACACTGCGTCTGTATCTTTGGGGTAAATCCCCAGCACTGCAGTTGCTGGGTGGTAGGGTAGCTCTATTTTTAACTCTTTGAGGAACCTCCACACAGTTTTCCAGAGTGGCTGCACCAGTTCACATTCCCACCAACAGTGCAAGAGGATTTCCCCTTTCTCCACATCCTCTCCAATATTTGTGGTTTCCTGTCTTGTTAATTTTCCCCATTCTCACTGGTGTAAGGTGGTATCTCATTGTGGTTTTGATTTGTATTTCCCTGATGGCAAGTGATGCAGAGCATTTTCTCATGTGCTTGTTGGCCATGTCTATGTCTTCCTCTGTGAGATTTCTCTTCATGTCTTTTGCCCATTTCATGATTGGATTGTTTGTTTCTTTGCTGTTGAGTTTAATAAGTTCTTTCTAGATCTTGGAGACTGGCCCTTTATCTGATAGGTCATTTGCAAATATCTTCTCCCATTCTGTAGGTTGTCTTTTAGTTTTGTTGACTGTATCTTTTGCTATGCAGAAGCTTCTTATCTTGATTAAGTCCCAATAGTTCATTTTTGCTTTTGTTTCTCTTGCCTTCATGGATGTATCTTGCAAGAAGTTGGTGTGGCCAAGTTCAAAAAGGGTGTTGCCTGTGTTCTCCTCTAGGATTTTGATGGAATCTTGTCTTACATTTAGATCTTTCATCCATTTTGAGTTTATCTTTGTGTCTGGTGTAAGAAATTGGTCTAGTTTCATTCTTCTGCATATGGCTGTCCAATTTTCCCAGCACCATTTATTGAAGAGACTTTTTTCAGCAGATAGCCTTTCCTGCTTTGTCAAATATTAGTTGACCATAAAGTTGAGGATCCACTTCTGGGTTCTCTCTTCTGTTCCATTGATCTATGTGTCTGTTTTTATGCCAGTACCACACTGTCTTGATGATCACAGCTTTGTAGTACAAACTGAAATTCGGCATTGTGATGCCCCCGGCTCTGGTTTTCTTTTTTAATATTCCCCTGGCCTTTTCTGATTCCACACAAATCTTAAGATGATTTGTTCCAACTCTCTGAAGAAAGTCCATGGCATTTTGATAGGGATTGCATTAAATGTGTAAATTGCCCTGGGTAACATTGACATTTTCACAATATTAATTCTTCCAATCCATGAGATGGAATATTTTTCCATCTCTTTGTGTCTTCCTCAATTTCTTTCAGAAGTGTTCTATAGTTTTTAGGGTATAGATCCTTTCCCTCTTTGGTTAGGTTTATTCCTAGGTATCTTATGCTTTTGGGTGCAATTGTAAATGGGATTGACTCCTTAATTTCTCTTTCTTCAGTCTTATTGTTAGTGTATAGAAATGCCACTGACTTCTGGGCATTGATTTTGTATCGTGCCACACTGCTGAATTGCTGCATGAGTTCTAGCAATCTTGGGGTGGAGTCTCTTGGGTTTTCTATGTACAGTATCATGTCATCTGCAAAGAGGGAGAGTTTGACTTCTTTGCCAATTTGAATGTCTTTTATTTCTTTTTGTTGTCTGAGTGCTGAGGCTAGGACTTCTAGTACTATGTTGAATAGCAGTGATGAGAGTGGACATCCCTGTCTTGTTCCTGATCTTAGGGGAAATGCTCCCAGTGTTTCTCCATTGAGAATGATATTTGCTGTGGGCTTTTTGTAGATGGTTTTTAAGATGCTGAGGAATGTTCTTGTTGGGTCTTCTTGTTGAATAGACCCTTTAAGTATGATATAGTGTCCCTCTTCATCTCTTACTACAGTCTTTGGGATAAACTTTAATTATCTGATGTGAGGATTGCTACCCCAGCTTTCTTTTGAGGATCATTTGAATGGTAAATGGTTCTCCATCCCTTCATTTTCAGGCTGGAGGTGTCCTTAGGTCTAAAATGAGTCTCTTGTAGACAGCAAATGGATGGGTCTTGCTTTTTTATCCAGTCCCATACCCTGTGTCTTTTGATGGGATCATTTAGCCCATTCACATTCAGAGTAACTATTGAAAGATATGAATTTAGTGTCATTGTAATACCTATTCAGTCCCTGTCTTTGTGGATTATTTCTTTGGGTTTCCTCTTTCTTTTACAGGGTCTCCCTTAATATTTCCTGCAGAGCCGGTTTGGTGATCACATTCTTTCAGTTTCTGCCTATCTTGGAAGCTCTTTATCTCTCCTTCTATTCTGAATGAGAGCCTTGCTGGATAGAGTATTCTTGGCTGCATGTTCTTCTCATTTAGGACCCTGAATATATCCTTCCAGCCCTTTCTGGCCTGCCAGTTCTCTGAGGAGAGGTCTGCTGTTAATCTGATATTTCTCCCCATATAAGTTAAGAATCTCTTGTCTTGTGCTGCTTTAAGGATTTTCTCTTTATCTTTGAAATTTGCAAGTTTCATTATTAAATGTTGAGGTATTGAATGGTTTTTATTGATTTGGGGGGAGGTCTTATCTATCTCTTGGATCTGAATGCCTCTTTCCTTCCCCAGATTTGGGAAGTTCTCAGCTATGATTTGTTCAAATATGCTTTGTGGTCCTCTGTCTCTCTCAGCCTTCTCTGGAATCCCAATTAAATGTATATTCTTCCTTCTCAGGCAATCCTTTATTCCCCTAAGCCCATTTTCATGGGCTTTTAATTGTTTTTCTCTTTTTTCCTCAGCTTCCTTCCTTAGCAGCAACTTGTCCTCTATGTCGCTCACTCTTTCTTCCACCTCATTAACCCTAGCAGTTAGAACAACCAGTTTGGATTGCATCTCATTTAATCTTTTTTTAATTTCGGCCTGATTAGATCTCAATTCTGCAGTAATGAAGTCTCTATCTCTTGTAGTGAATTCTTCCTTCTAGTGCAGAGTGGCTGTATGAGTGGGCTGAGTCAAAAATATCAACCATGACCTAAGTAAAATACACCCTAGATGATTCCAAAGAGGTCAGAGACCAGAAAATAAAAGAAAAAGAAGGACGGAACAAAATAAAACAAAAAGACTACTAAAGTGAAAAACAAATTTTAAAACAAAGTAGTATAGGGGGGATCCCTGGGTGGTTCAGTGGTTTAGTGCCTGCCTTTGGCCCAGGCCGTGATCTTGGAGTCCCAGGATCGAGCCCCACGTCAGGCTCCTGGCATGGAGCCTGCTTCTCTCCCTCTGCCTATGTCTCTGCCTCTCTCTCTCTCTCTCTCTTTCTCTCTATCATAAATAAATAAAATCTTCAAAAAAAACAAATAAAACAAAGTAGTATAAGTAAGAAGCCAAAAACTGAAAACAAAGAAGAAAAAAGTAACGAGGAAAGGGGGGTGGAGATGATGGTGGTGAGAAAGTGGTAGTGGAAAAAGAATGTAGTCTCCCTGAGGGGTCCTAGAGGGTGATCCTCTTGGTTCTGAGTGTATTTTGTTTTGTATATTAGAATATGCTCAGTCCCAAATTTATATAAACCAGCAATACTTATGTAAAACCCCAACATTGACCTCAAAAACATAAACAAGATAAAAGAGGGGGACAGAATGGGAAGGAAAACAATATAATCTCACAGAATGAACCATCACGGTGTCCCACTTGGTTCTGGGTACATGTTGGTCATGTTTTAGACGGTACTAACTTCCACCATTTTAAAACAAAATGAGGCAGAAAAAACAAAAAACAAAAAACAGAAACCCATATCTCGTATCTACCAAAGTTAAATTGAATATATTGAAGGGAATCCAGAAGTGGAAAATATATCTAAAACATGTAATTGTAGAAATATGAAAGTCAAAAAGGAAAAAACTTAAAAATGAAGAGCTGGCTGGTAAAATATTGTAGTTAAGGTGGGAAAAGAGAAAAATCATGGGAATTTTTAGTCTGATATAAGAATGAGTTGTAATGGAAAAGGGAAAAAAGAAGAAAAGAAAAAGGACCCTCTAGTTCTACATACTATTTTCCCTCAGTCCTGGAGCTTTCTAGCACTGCTTAGTCAAGAACTTGCTCTTCCCCTGTCCTTCCAGCTGGTCTCTGGGGGGGGAGCCTGCTGTGCTGATTCTCAGGTGTGTGTACCTGGGGGAGCTGCCCCGCCTTCTGCCAGGTGCCAGGCTCAGTGTGAGACCTCTGTCCCCTGGCAGCCTCGCCCTTCCCAGGCACAAGGTGACACCAGGAGAAACAGCAACACTGGTGGGGGCCAGGTCTCCAGCACTGGAGTCAGCTCTCCCAGTAACTACCGCAGCTCCCAGTCTGCACCGGCCTAGGTGCTCCCAGGGCAGCAAGGGGCACTGACCTGCACAGCTAAGGGGCGCCCGGCGGCAGGAGCGTCCTCGCTGTCCTGTGCCCTCCCTGCCTCCGCCTGTCCCGGGGGGAGCGCAGGATCCTGGCTACGTCTGCTCGGTGCCCTGTGCTCCTGGAATTGCGCTCCCAGGGCCCTCTCTCCCACAGGGATCGGGGCTCAGCCACCTGCGTCCAGAGCCTCCGCCTGACCCCTGGCTTCTCCCCGATGCCCCAGGGCTGAGCGCTTTCCCCCGGGTGCCCCTCTTCTCATAGTGACCCCGGGGATCTGGAGGCTTCCCTGCCTCTCCTGCGGTTCTGCCCAATCTCCCTGCTGAGCACGTCTGTGTCCAGGAAAACTCGGGCGCGGATTTTTAAAGTCCCCGCTTCCCCAGGGCTGGGCTTTCCTGCCCCGAGGCTCCCACCCACCCGGCTCCTCCCCGGGGCCCTCCGCCACTTGATTCTTTTTTATTTTCTTTCCACCTTCCTACCTTGTTAGAAGTGAAAACTTTTCTCTCTGTAGCGTTCCAACTGTTCTCTCTTTAAATCTCACGACGAATTCATAGGTGTTCAGGATGTTTTGAAAGTTACCTAGGTAAGTTTGTGGGGCCAGGTGAGTTGAGGACCCCTACTCTTCCGCCACCTTGCCCCTCCCTCCAGAATATCTGCTGATTGGGTTGTTGATGCAGCCATACAGTGAGGTCTACAAGTCCAGATGATTCTTGAAAACCAGCTCTTGTCAGAGAGTAAGAATTCTGAACATTATATGGTCTCATTCATTTGGGGAATATAAAAAATAGTGAAAGAGAATAAAGGGGAAAGGAGAAAAAATGAGTGGGAAATATCAGAAAGGGAGACAGAACATGAAAGACTCCTAACTCAGGGAAACGAACTAGGGGTGGTAGAAGGGGAGGTGGGCAGGGGGTGGGGGTGACTGGGTGACAGGCATTGAGGTGGGCACTTGATGGGATGAGCACTGGGTGTTATGCTATATGTTGGCAAATTGAACACCAATATAAATAAATAAATACATAAATTAATCAATTAATTAATTAATTAATGAAAAAAGAATTCTGAGAACCCTTATAACTTTTCCTACAAGCTTCTCCATTTATAAATGAAAAACTGAACTCCTGAATGTAAGTGATCAGCCCAAAGCCACCTGACATTGCCAATATTTTCCCACCACATGGAATCATAACCCTCTATCCCCCCCCTCCCTTTTTTTACAGACCAGACATCAGCATTGAGGGTTAAAATCATCTTCTGGTATGTTTTGCCCATATCTGTTACCGTGTTTCTTTTTTCTGCGATGGGCTACTTCATGTACAGATACATCCATGTTGGCAAAGAAAAACACCCAGCAAATTTGGTGAGTGCTTAGCGTGGCAGGAGTCATACACACTCCCTTCCAGAAAAGTAGAAAAGGAGACTTTAGAACTGACACTGGTCCCTTTTACAGGCAGAGTGGGTTTAGAGTTGATGAATTAAACAACACTTTTGCTACTAGATTCACTCAGTAACATAACCAAAGAGAAGGATTCCTCAGCTTTGACGATGATTTTACATGTAATGAACAGATTAGACTAGGTCTTGAGGTACACAAATAAACTTAAGTCAGGATCCATGCCTTTCCAGAGGCTCTGGTTAAGTTGGGGACAAGTATTTCAAAATGATGCACAAAGGCTAAGATGGAACCAGGCACTGAGGACTGTGAAAGTTCAGGGAGTTACGGGGAGGGTGCTGAAACCCCACAGGGGGGCCAGGAGACAATTTACATCTGGCTTTGATTATGAAAGTGGAGTAAGAGTTAGAGCACCTACTGCTGGCAGAAAACCCAGGGGAACCAAGGTGAGTGGATGTTTGGAAAACCACATGATACTGCTTGACCACAGGTTGCTGATAAGGAGCTACAGAAGTGAGAGTGGGAAGGAGGGGGAGGGCCAGGTAACAGGAGAATTGGGTGTTATTCTAATGAACTTGGGCTTTGCATTCTCTTCGAAAAGAGAACTCTCTGTAGGGTTTTGAGTAGGGAGCGTCAAGGTCAATATCATGTTTTAGATCCAGATGGAGAGGGTCTAAGATAACGTTGGAGGAAGTAAGATTAGAAACAAAAAAAAGCAGCTAGGAGACTCTGCAGTTGTCCAGGGAACAAAGAGGAGAGTCTACAAGAGGAGAGTGGGATGTAGGGCTGGAGACAGTGTGGAATGGGAACACATTTTGGAGGGAAATGGCCAGGACAGGCATTCACAGCAAGGAGAGCAGGAAAATATTAAGATGGAATAAACCTATACTTCTGGACAATACACTGAAGGTTTCCCATGAGCTGGGCATATTTTAACCACAAAAATAATTTATCTGCAAATTATTAAAATATAACGTTTACATATGCATGATGCATACATGTATTCCTGTTAGTTTGGTTTTTAAATGTTTCTTTTGTTCTGCCCACTTTTAGGCTTCAGAGGTAGCTTCCTATGGCAGAGGGATACCTACCTGGGAGGAACAATCCCAGGAGAATTGAGCACATGTCACTTTCTGAAGCCGAATGTTGTAAAAGAATGAGGCTAAAGGTCCTGTTTTGTGATGTTAAATCACATCAGGGGGTGCACAGTGAGGATTGAAACACAGCTCATGGCAGGCCATCTCAAAGGGCACCTTCCACATATCCCCAGTACCAGTTTAATCTCCACCCAGTTTTCCTGGGTGACATGATTTAGAGTATGTCGGCCATAACCTGGCACATAGAGTGCCCTTTTTGGCCTCATTACAGTATGATTAGAATGGTATGGGGGGGAAGTGAGGAAAACCATCCCTACTCATGTGCCTCTTTCCCTCTTTACATCCAATTTTTATGACCATCCACATTTCATGTCCAGGACATGACCCAGTCAGGTCTGGGAGCACAGGTAACCACTGCCACCCAACAAATACTTCGTCAACAGTAATTAACAAAGCAGTTTCCAAACTATCTCACTCAGTGCTCGCTGCTTCATAAGTGACAGAAATTCTGAGTTTACAGAATTAAAAACTGAGCCTCAAGAAATTAAATAACTGCCCTGAACTCCCTGGGCCAGGTAGGGAAGGGGGCAATAACACCCAGATCTTTGGACTTGATACACACCCCCCAGGGACCACTTTGCACTTCCATATGCCTTTTTTGTATGTCTTGGGTCTCTTGCCTCCATGTGAATGAGGCTTTCTGTTTATTCCAAGAATAACTTTCACTTCCATGAGTTGGTAAGAATAGGTCTTTAGAACTATGTGATGACAGTATAAGTTCTACTTAACAGCTGTTTTTCGTGTCTCTCTCAAGTGAAAAGGTGAAAACCGTTCTCTTCTGTCTTTACAGATTTTGATTTATGGAAATGAGTTTGACAAAAGATTCTTTGTACCCGCTGAGCAAATTGTGCTTAATTTTATCACCCTCAATATTTTGGAGGATTCTAAAATTTCTCAGAAGGATTTAAGTGTAATGGAAAAAGGCAACGATGTATGGGATCTGAATGAGCCCCACCAAGACCAGGAGCCACATCAGGCAGAAATGGAGGTGAAACACTTGGGGTATGCTGTACATTTGGTGGACATTTTCTGTGACTCTGAGGAAACAACCAAGGGTCTGCCCCTAACTCAGCAAGAATCACCCAGCAGCACAATGCCCACAGGTAAAGCGGTCATTGAATATGAGTATGCGGTAAGAACTGCTGACACCTGTGTGGGGCCTGGAGATCACGACCTCAATCTGCAGGAGGAGGTGTCCCTCCCAGGACAATTCTTTGAGCAACAGACGGCTCTGACCAACCTGGGCTCCCCCACACCACTGTATTCCTACGTCCCTCAGCTGCGAGACTTGGACCAGTGGCAGTGGGTGCACCCAGACACGAGAAAGGAGCCAGATGAAAAGTCCTCCACCACACTTGTGGATTGGGACCCTCGGACTGGTAGGCTGTGCATGCCGTCATTCTCTAGCTTTGAACATGACTCAGAGGGATGCTCACATCCTGAGTACAAGGAGTTCACGGAAGAGGGCCTTTTGTCTAGACTCTATGAGGAGCAGGCTCTAGATGAGCCATGAGAAGAAAGTGAAGTCTATCTCATGAAATTTATGGAGGAATGGGGATTGTATGTGCAAATGGAACACTAATCCTTGAACTTCCCTTTGCCACACCCCTGCTGTTACAAGGCTCGTGGGTGTAAACATAGGAGTGATCAAACAATAAAGTACGTGGAATGAAAGACAGTTTACTCAGATTTTCTGTGTTGCTGAGAATTACTTGTTTCTTCTCTATTCTCATAGCACTTCTTTCCTTCTGCCTCATATGGGGGGTTGGTTCATGCATGTGGGAGTCTTGTGACATCGGTGGGTACCTGGAATGAAGGTGCTGACCCATCATTTTGTAAACATTCAAAAATGTCTGCCAAATTGGATGAAGAATTCACTCAAGTGAGCATGTATGGCTTTTATTTTCTGGGCACTTATCAGGTGTACAGCACCGTAAAAAAATATTTCATGAAGCCCATTCATTTTATAAATACTACTTTTTTTTAGAATTTGGTCTCCTGTCAGAGTGATGAAATAGATCAAACAAATACCACTAAATTGGTGGTAAGTTGGTCATATTTAAGCCCAACCCACTATTCAATCACAATAATCCAAGTTCAGAGTGAATAAATCACTCACAGTTCTTGATAGCACACACTTTTGGCTACTTTAAGTGGCCATATTTATATTTTATGAGAATTTCTGGAATGCTAATATAAATTATTACTATTTTGTAGTCAGAAAATATCCTCTCAATAACTTAGTAGGCACTTTTAGTAGGAAACCTACCTGAAAGAAAATGCCACCTTTTATGATAGAATAGTACATTTTATTTCTGGAAATTTGTATTTTTTAAAAGATTTTATTTATTCATTTGAGAGAGATGAGAGTCAGTGCAAGAGAGAACAAGCAGGGGATGCAGTAGAGGGAGTGGGAGAAGCAGGGTCCCCATAGAACAGCGACACCCGCCCCCTCCATGTTCAAGCCCAGGACCCCGGGATCATGACCTGAACCAAAGCAGATGCTTGACCAACTGAGCCACCCAGGTGTCCCTGCAAATATATCTTTAAAAAGATACTATACAATGGAATATTATTTAGCCATCAGAAAGGACGAATACCTACCATTTGCTTCAACGTGGAGGGAACTGGAGGGTGTTATAGTGAGTGAAATAAGTCACAGAAAGACAATCATCATGGTTTCACTCATATGTGAAATATAAGAAATAGTGAAAGGGACTATAAGGGAAAGGAGGGAAACTGAGTAAGGAAAAATTAGAGAGGAAGACAAACCATGAGAGACTCCTAACTCTGGGAAACAAAGTGTTGCAGAAGGGGACGTGGTGGGGGGATGGGGTGACTGGGTGATGGGCACTAAGGAGGGCACTTGATGGGATTAGCACTGGGTGTTATACTCTTTGTTGACAAATTGGATTTAAATTAATAAATGAAATAAAAATTTTTAAAAAGATACTAACATAGTCTATAAGCTGGAATATGTTTAGCAGCTGAAATATTATGTTACTATTATAATATCAAATATTCTATTTGAATGAACAATGCCTCAAAGACTCCTTGGAGTATGTATGAATGAATATCCCCTATCTACATAATCTTAAAGTCAATAAACAAACAAGGATATACAAACAAGGATATAAAAATATACAAACAAGGATATACAAACAAGGATATAAAAATATACAAACAAGGATTTACAAAGATATATAAAATATACAAACAACATACAAAATATATAAACAACACAAACAGGTATACAAAAGAAAAAAGTTAAATGACTAGAATATGTAAGGTAGAATGTATTAAAATTTGACACAATTTACTGTGGAAACTAAAGTGTACCATAAAACAATACCATCCTAGTTAATTTCCAGTAACTAGGCCCATCGCCTTCACCATTCATCACCTAGAAAGTTAAATTCTCCAGACACTGCATTAAAATATGAAAGGATCTATAAAGTGGAACCATATAAAATTACTTGACAGTTTTTGACCTGCAGAAGCAGCAATATTTTCATATTTTACCTTAATATATATTTGTTGATACTCTTGCAGGAAACAGATAACATCCATATTTCCTTATTTATATTTTGGGTACAGGAAAACAACTCTGGTAGGAGAGATGGATTCTAGAGTTGTGATCTTTAGAGATTGTCCACAAATCCAAACAGTTTCTAATCTAATGATTTAATTAGACCATAATTATGTTAACCAGAGTGTTCTGTCCCTCTCAATCTTGGTAGACATGATTCTGCTGGTTTTAAAGAAAAAAATTTATAATACTAACTGTAAAAGAAGCCGAGGAGTGGAAAAGAACAAGTCATGATTAAGAGCAGAAAGAAAACAAAGTGATTGATGTGTCGTACAGTGTCCTCATCTTCCTCACCTAGGAAAGAAGGATGAGAACTCCCTCAGGGCTGTGTTGAGGTGAACAGAGTTGGAATACAGAAAGCACTTAGAACAGTGCCTGGCACCTAGTGAGTGCCGTGGGTTTATTGTTATTAACAGCCAGAGCATGTGCTTAGTGCCAGAAAGACAAGCCATTTAGACACGACTATTTCAACTTAAAGCCAGAGTGTGCCTCACCTTATTTTCCTAACTGAAAAGTACAATCATAATTTGCTTCCCACTTTATGTCTTCACGTTGAAGTCATGGGTGGTTTTGTAAAAGGGAATCTAATTCTGAGTTGCTCTTACATCTCTTGTCATTCTAAGCATGTCAGTAGAATTGAGCATTTCCAAACTTTTGTTGCTTCTACCTCTTCCACATTAGGTAAGTTTTCCTCATGAAAACATCAATTAATGGCCCTATTTTTGTACCCCATAAATTCTAAGCAGGGTGAATGAAAATATACCACTGCAGAGTGAGTGAAACCTAGTGCCACATCATGAGCATAGGAAGAAGGATGTGAAAAGGGGACATTGAGTGCTCAGCCTACAACATGGGAAAGATCTGGTGCCCCCAGGCTGAGCTAACTCCCAGGAAGTCAATGCAGAGGAAAACTATTTGTACAGCCAAGAGCGCAAGTCTGTCCAGCATGGTAAATCTAATCAGAACATTAAATAGAGGGCTCCATCAGCATGGATCAGTGCACCTGGATCATAATCACATCCTTTCTGGCCCATACACTACCACCCCCATGTCTTGAGGGGAATTTTTGCTAACTTATCTTAGAAGAACTGTTTCTATTTTCTTTGTGGTTCCCTTCATGATATCTTCCATAAATCTTCTATCTACAGAGTTGTGTTTTTTTAAAGACTTTACACAGAAGTGTGTGCCCATAATTTTTTTTACCAAAGAATGCTATGGTTGTAGGTATTTTAATAGTAGTTGCTGTTTTTCACTATAGGAGATTAATGTACACATATTAATTGTAGAATAACTAGAAATAGAGGGGAAAATTACCTGTAATATCCCAGATTTAACTACTGTAAACATATTAGAGAACTGAAACTCAAATAGGAGTGATTTTGTGCCCCAAGGGATATTTGGCAATGACTAGAGACATCATTTTTGATTGACAAAACATAAGTGAAAGGTGCTGCCAGTGTGGGAGCTGGTGGGGAAAGGCCTGGAATACTGCTAGCATCCTAGCATGCACAGGGCAGCCCTTCATGACAAAGAGCTCTTGTCTAAAATGTCAGTGGTGCCAAGGCTGATCACCTTGGTTAGAATTTTCCAGACATTTTTAATGTATATATGTATACATTTAAATGTATATATGTATTTTTCCCCAAAGGAGGGATCATACTGAACTCTTTTATAACTTGCTCTTTTTTCACTCATAAAATATGGCGAACTATTTTATTTTATGTATACTTAGATTAACTTTATGAAGCATCAGTCATAAACTAGAGCTATTGAAATGCAGTTAGGAATTATTTTTTCTACATTTAATGATTTAAATTTTTTTGTTGAGCAGCAATCAAAAGTTGGAGTTATTAAGGGCAAAGAGCTGTGAGTCCTTTACAGATAACTGAACCTCTCAAAACAGTATTTTCTATCACTCACTACCTCTGCAGAGTGGCTGGTTGATTATTAGATGGTCATTTATCTGCCTTTTGAGGTATTGTCCTTCCCGTACTTAGTTCCTACTACTGTCCTGCAGTCTTTATCTTCAGTGACAGGTGCTTGAAAGCAACCTGGGCTTTCACTATAAATCCTGGATAAATAGTCATGTCTATCACTGATATTCTTTTAGACTCCTTTACCTACAGTAGGTGCAAGATTTCTTTCTTACTTTGTTAGTTTTAGTCTTTAAAAGATCTTCCAGGTGGTGTTCATTTCTGAATGCCAGTAAAGATACCAGGTTAAGGTTCACATTGCTAAGGTCTTTATGTAAAGACTCCAAGGTTCTCTTTAGAAAGAGGTGAGGGCTGATGTGTTATGTTGTGTTTGTACAGATAGAGGGAGGCTCCTTCTGTCCTCAAAAATGGTTCCCTGTCCATGTTTTTACCTCAAACCTGTCTCAGGTGCTTTGTTAAATTTGGAAGCAGATGAGATATTTTCTCCCTTACCTACTCAACAGATTTCTTTTGATTTCTCAATCTGTCATTCTCTGGATTAGGTGGTACTTGGAGGCTTTCCAGCTACTCAGAAGATGGGCATATGCCTCATGTTTATGTTTTCATATACAGGCCACTGAGACAGTGAACACTGATGGAGATAAATGCCATCCTCCATTTGTCTGTCCCTGGAACGGAGTCCATGAGACATACAAATTAGTCACTACTCTTAAAAGGCTCATATAGTTAAGATAGTTTACATAATATTCTTTCTTCTCATGAAGTGCATTCCTCCACATTCTGAAATTGATTCAAAATGCAGATACTTCAGAATATTTGATGTAAGGGGGAGAAAAATAATAGGAATTTTTAATTCCAACCCCAAAAAGGAGATATGGGACATTGAATCATTTTAATTCCAACCCCAAAAAGGAGACATGGGACAAATCTTTATCAGATTTGTTGGCTTTGTGCTTCTAAAAGAATTTATTAACAAAATTGACTAACTTACTAATAATTTGGCTAACAAAAGTATATATAAACAAATGAAGAAAAAGCCCTAGAACTTTTCAAATTGTCTGAGTGATTGATTAGCTGAAGAATTGGTATGGTATACTGACAAAGTATAGACTCTGGAGCTAATAACCTTGGTTCAAAGTCTAGCTCTGTCTCTTCTTAGGCTTGTC